CGTCGTAAACGGAGAACGGTATTGAAATGCATTTAATGGTTTTAGATCGATATAAGGGAATATTAATATATATATATATATATATATATATATATTCGATTCGATATAAGTCGTTCGACTTTAACCTCGTGAACGAAAAAAAATTGCTCGATTGGCGGCCTACCCTAAGATATCCTAACTGACCGTGACATCTGTGCTTCTTCCTACTACCTTAGTATACGATTCAATTTCCGCAAATAACTGCTAGTTGTCCATAGGTATGTGACAAAGAGAATGTATGTGAAAGAGAGAGATAGAGAGAGATAGAATACAGTAAGGTATATAGACGTTGATGGTGTTAACAACATTATTGAATATGTCTTTGATTGACCTTACGAAATTTTAACCCGTTCAACTTGAAACCCAATATAAATGTGAGAAAATATATTAAATTATATCTCTCTTCCATGTATATATATATATATATATATAAATAAATTCCATATATATATGTAAATATCAATAAAAACTTACCTACTACGAGAACTGCTGTAACGAGGAAGAAAAATAGCAAGAGGGGGGAAAATAAAGGAGACATCGTTCGTTTCATGATTCTCGAATAACTGACTTCCTACTATTTCGGATTACTTTCTTTCGATCATATCGCGAATGCGATCGATCAATTAAACATTATTTAAAATCATGTCTCGCGCAAAAAAAAATAACTCGAAGCTCGCGTTGTTCCCGCCTATCCTTTCCGAGCGTTTTTAACCATGCATTCACCGATGACACAAGTCGTAGAGAGAACGGTCGAACGCGCACTGAAACGTAACCTCCCTTCTCCCACGAAAGAGACACCCTCTTTTTCCACCCTACTAACACCCTTACAACCACCCCTTTCGTACAATCAGAATGTTTCATGCGAAAACCACTCGCAGCGCTATTCCTTTTCGCGAATATCAAATTTATATTTTCCTATTTTCTATCCTACGTATCTTCTATCAATAAATAAAATCGAAAAACATATTAATCGCTTTTTTTTTGTGTTAGTACAATTTATTATCTCTGACATTTAATCTCCAAAGAACAAATCGGACCTTTGATTTATGAATTTGATTGAAATTTTCTTTCATTTCTTTTCTTTCCTCGATCGATCGGGTTTTTGTTTCTTTATCTTTTGTAGATAGCTTTAATATAACAAATGATTTATACAGAAAGATAATAAAATAAATTTCTCGATATAACAAGCTATGTAGATAAAAATTCAATTGATATTTAATATTTAATGGAAGGTTACAAAAACATTTTTAAATATTTTTCAACAAAAAGTATATTAAATTCGATCATATCTTGTGAAGAGTCTTATTAATTCGAATTATTTTTACTAAAAGTATTCTTGTTTTTCTTTTTAAATTTTTTATTGTGGACATATGATATTATAGAGTTTAATGATCAATCAAGCTTGTATGCACAAAGATTGACTATATCTATATGTAAGGAACATAGCCTATCATTAGGGGTAAGAGATCACATTGTTATAGTTCGTAACTTATCCTACACGCATGTACGAAAGTTGCCTATAGCCAGGGGCGCTGTCGCTAAAGTTAATTCCAACATTAAACGCCAGGTGGTGCTGAATTCAGATTGATATCGATAATCGAATAATTTGAATATTATTTTAGCCCTATACGCATCATATATATTTATTAGAAAATTATGTTTTATCTATGTTTAATCTTTGACTCATTGTCAGAAAAACGATTGTTAAATAAAATTAATCAAATCAAATGTATGAATATTATTACACTTTCATTGTTATACATTCGAGATAGATATGAGATCCAAATTAATAAAACTTATCAAAATTTATGTACGTTCTCATCAAATGAAAGTTTGCGTTTTTCTTTTTAATAAGCTTTTTTTTTAAATAGCAACTCTATGTTTTCTTTTGTTTTTAATTTTATTATTACCAAGCACGATACGTTTTTAACTTATAGAATTATAAGCAAACAGTTACTTTAAAAAAATGTTCGATTGATTGCACATAACAAAAAAAAAAGAAAATATTAAACAGATACATAATTAAATGATCGTCAACAATTAATATGAAATACGTTGTTAATAGAAATTTTCTTCTACGATGATGTGTAATAATCGTTTATTATAAAGAACTATTGAGACACGCCCACGCCCCCATCCCTCGTTGCATACATTTTACTTTAATATTTTAATTAATCGATCTATTGCATAGGAATCCATTCAGGACTTAAATATTACAATGGAACATCATCTCAGTTATTTTAGAATTACAAACATTTAATCGTATGGTGTATTGTTATGATTATGGCAATTATATTATTTACTGTACACGATCGTTGATATTTCATAATGACAGGTCTATGCTTATTTTTTTCTTTTTTTTTTTTTTTTTTT